TTGATCACGCATCGCGGGGGTACACGCAGCACCGGCGCACAGTAAGGAATTTCCCTCGGAAGCGATCCACGATTCGCGACACAGGGACCGTCTTCGGAGAGGATTGTGCAGTATGCCAATGATGAGCACAAGGTTGTGCCATCAAAGTGTTCATGGAGACCACAGTCCCACACAGTCCCAATGTTTGTTCGGATTTCGCGATAAACGTTCTGTTATCTCTCCGCAGTTACCGCAGGCCACGTAGTGAAGCTAACCTCAAATCACGCAATTTTTGATACTCGCCCATAATTTTGGGCTCAATCATTGTGCTTGCCACGCCAGCATTCCCGGAGTAAGAATGAAAAGAAACAGTGTTGAAATCCCTGCTTTCCTTTGACCATGGAATGTCAAGCAAGGCAAGCCCATTTTAGTGGTATGCGCGCAGTGGGATGGCTTGCATAGCTCGCAGGTCAGACTGCGATTCTCCTGGATTTCCTGTCGAGTCCGTCAACACCACCTATCCCACTCAACAGCAATGCATGGATGCTCGATATGGTGAGAGAGCGTAAATTTTCGCATAATACGTCGAATTTTATAACTGGTTTCAGCAACTTGGATGATGACATACAGACTGACATGCTCATCGGGATATGCCCCGGTTTTCATTGATGGTAGTCCGTTAGTATTTAGGTAAAGTATTTGCTTTTCATTTTTTCTTCATATCAAAGCTGCTTCTTACTGTGATGCCATTTTCAAAAAAAAGCTGAAGAAATGGCAAAGCTATTCGCGTCGGTCTCTGCACGTTCTATGTCACTCCTTTCAAAATCGTAGTGGCTTTGAATGTGATTTGGTCTAGAGCATAGTATGGCGTGTCTGCCCATAGACAAATACTTATTTTTATTCTACAGGACAAGTCTGGTACAATTTGCCACTCCCTTAGGGACTGACTGTTTCACACAGTGAGCGCCGTGGCGTTTTTGCCGCGACTCCCGTTTACACTTCCTGCGTCTCCGCGCGCGTGAATTGTGTGCAATACACAAACGCGCGGAACGGGAGTCTTTGTGCCGCATGCCCTTTGCACGCTCATTCTCTTTTCATTTGCTCTTGATTCTCGCGTGAACCTATTATAGATGGTGAAACTCTGTTAAAGTTATACAGTGCGTAACAAAAGTATGTGGACACCTCAAATTTTGATTTTGCGAAATTGCCTTTGGATATTGCGATCTGAGAGCATCACTGTTAAATTCCGTATAGGAATACTACTTCTGAGCACATTATGAACTATTGAACAATGATTTATTGTTTTGAAAAAATTTCTTAATAACAAAAGTATGTGGACACTTAACAAAAAACAAAAGTATCATGGAAATTAGAAACTTGGTGCTCCCTCCCGCGTTCACTATTACTTCGAACATTCTGTCTGGCATGCTGTGGACAAGATTTGTGATAGTGTCTTCGTCGATTTCCTCCCATGCAGCCACTACCGCCTCCTTGAGGTCTCGCACGCTGTTGTACTGCCGATTGTTCATGTAAATTCGTCGAACCATAATTCCCCACAGGTTTTCGATTGGGTTGCAGTCAGGAGAACATGCCGGCCAATCCATCACTTTGATACCATTGCGTTGGAGCCATTTTATAGTAGAATTTGAAACATGCACGGCGGCGTTGTCCTGCTGCAGCACATGTGTCCTGGGTCGTGGCCCACTCAGAAAAGGCAAGAGGTTGGATTCGAGCACTCCTTGATATTCCTGACTGTTCATACGGCACGATGAGGAAGGCGAGCACACCATCAAAGAGCCGCCTCCGAAATTTCGCCTCGAGAACACCAACGGATCGCGACGAAGGTCTCTTCCAGTAGTGCCGATATCCATCTGGACCGTCGAGATTGAACTTTTTTCATCGGTGAAGATAACCTAAGAAAGAAAAGCGCATAGATGTTGCCTTTCTGATTTTACAAATTTCTCAAAAACTTCACCTTGTCCCACGACGTCGCCATGTTTGCACGCGCGAAGTTCAGTCTCGCCAGCTGGTGTTGGGCAGTCAGGCGAGGAGCTTTCTTCATGGTCTCTCGTGTGATATGCTCATTTGATCGAATATAGCGCCATATCGTCATTTTTGAGACCGGTAGATTCAATTGCAGCATGGATCTGTCTCACGAAGGGGGGAGTTTGAGGCGACACGCGCTATTCTTCTGATGTCTTTTGCGGACAAAGATCGAGGACGCCCCGAAATATGTGCTGAATGGTAGCCATCAGGATTCTGGAGGTATTTACCAACGCACGTCGCCGAACGTCCGAGCTGTCTTGCAATTTCTCTATTTGAGTGTCCAGCAGCACTGAGAGCTCGAATCTGAGATTGTTCGTCTTCGGAGAGAGTACTGCCACGACGAGGCATGAGTACAGATTAATGGGGAGCAGAGACGATAGATATGGGTTGCAGATTTGGAGTCAAACTTTGAACTTTCTCAGGTGTCCACATACTTTTGTTATTAAGAAATTTTTTCAAAACAATAAATAATTGTACAGTAGTTCACAATGTATTCAGAAGTAGTGCATTCCTATACTTTCGCTTATGAGGAATCTAACAGTGATGGTCTCAGATCGCAAAATCCAAAGGCAACTTCGCAAAATCAAAATTTGAGGTGTCCACATACTTTTGTTACGCACTGTATACTTGGATCTAAAGAATGAAGTAGAGGATGTCAGTATTAGTTTTGACGCGTTATTTTGGTACAGTGATGAATGAATTATAGGTTGGAAAGAAAGTCCTGTCAGTGTTTTTTAGATAGCCTACAGTTTTTGATCTTCGAAGCTCGAACATGACGTAACATGCTAAGGTTGTAGAACATTCTCGAAGCTTTTCCACAAGAGGTATATCAAGGCTCCTGCTCTTCCCTGTGTTTATTTATGATGTCAGTTTCACTGGAGCAGCTTCGAGTGATCATCTTCTATGAGTGGCGCCGCGGCACTGGAGCGACGGCAGCGGCCCGTAACATCAACTGTGCATTGGGGGAGGACACCACCACCGTCAGGACTGTCCACCGTTGGTTCGCTCGCTTCGCGAAAGGAGAGACGATCTTCGAAGACAAACCTCGTCTGGGACGCCCTCGCGGCGTAGAAGATTCCGCCGTTCTCGAACCTGTCAGAGAGGATCCAGAGGCTACCACGCGCAGTATTGCGACAAGGCTAGGGTGTAGCCATACAACAGCTCTAAGCCGCCTTCAGGCCCTTGGCTACAGAAAAGTCCTCACGCGATGGATACCTCATGCTCTAACAGATGGCACGCGGTATGCCAGGGTGAGCATCTGTCGATCCCTCCTTCTACACCGTAACCGGAAGGAGTTTCTGGAAGATATTGTGACTGGAGATGAAAGCTGGGTCCTCTATGATTCCAACCTACGTCGTGCCATGTGGCTCCCTCGAGGAGAAGACCCGCCTACGCAACCCAGATCGAACCTGCACTCCAAGAAGGTCCTCCTCTGCTGCTTCTGGGATTCGAAGGGCATGCTGCACCACGAGCTGCTTCCGCAAGGGCATACGGTTACCGCTACCGTTTACGCCGCCCAACTCCAGAAACTCGCGCAAGCTCTTCGAGAAAAGCGGCCGAGACGAGCTTCGGTGCACCTCCTCCATGATAACGCCAGACCACATGTGGCTAAAGAGACCCACCGCCAAATTGAGGAGCTAGGCTGTGAGACCGTTCTTCATCCACCATATTCTCCAGACCTAGCCCCCTCCGACTACTACTTGTTCCGCTCCCTCAAGGCTTTCCTAGGTAAGAAAACCTTCAGCGAATTTGATGGCATCAATCGAGAAGTTGCCTACTTCTTCGACTCGCAGCCTCCTCAGTTCTGGGAGAAGGGGATAGCTGAAATTGAGATAGGTGAGCACTGTAGTGGCTAACAATGGCGATTATATTATTGATTAGTTTTTATTTCATGTTGAGTTAGAAAATAAAAAGAAAAAATCACAACAGTGACAGGACTTTCTTTCCAACCTATAGATGAATTCGACCACTCAGAAGACGACTATGATGACAGGTCAGAAAAGATTTAGATTTAGATTTATTGCATGCGCATAAGCACATGGAGGTAGCAAGTGCCAAATAATGGACTGCGTTAGAGCAAACTAAACAACAAACATGAAGATTTCACAAACATATGGAAATTCCCAAAGCGAACAAAGAATGAATTAGTAGTTTAATAATAAAAATAAAAAGAAACAGCATATTAGGTGGCCAACCTTCCAAAAAGATGTCGCCTAACCAGAAAGAATAGGTATACTAATACATTATAAGTGAGACCTCAAGCGTAGTACTTGTTCAGGTTCCTCTTCAGTTGAGCAGTGGTGTTTGCCAAGGGACACTTTTTACAAAATCTAGAGAACTCTGAGAAGGCCCGAAGTGTGAAGAACTTATTTCTAATGGAGGACCTGGCCTTGGGGAGCGAAGGTTTAAGTAGGGTTTAAGGAGAAAAAACGATTATTCAGTCAAATGGGACCATCATCTGGAAGATCAGCTGTTAAGAGCAAATCAGCCCGTGATGCAGAATAAGGAAGACATATTGAGCACATATTCAACGATAATCATTCACAAACGATGGTTAGCTAAAAAGAAATTGATCCCCGAAATGTGAATTGTAGACACTAATGCGCGGGAAGGGTGTGTGCGCGTGTATTGCTCACAACTCACGCGGCGTTCAACGTGTTGAAGGCAGTTGGCACGATGATTTGGTACTCGGATTTGGGTCGGTATGTTGTAGCTTGATAGGGCTCTTATAAGGACACTCCATTTGGGAAAGGCGCTATGCAGCGCCTGCTCAGGGTCGCGGAATTCCGTCCTGCGGGGCGTATCAATCCTACTCCCCTTGGGGGAATTATCGTGCCAACTGCCTTTAACTAGCATGGGTAAAACGCACTGGACCAGGGCTGCCGTAGTAACTAGGAGCAACTGTGTCAGATACGGAACCCTTTTTCCTCTAGCACCCCGTGAACCCATCAAAGGCATAAGGCACGACAAGTCGGTACTCCCTGAAAAATAATAGCAGGGTGCTATCTTCATATATATAAACCAGAAGTTGTTTGTTTGTGTGTTGTGTGTGTGTGTGTGTGTGTGTGTGTGTGTGTCTGTTTGACCACTCAACAACTGAAGACTACATAAAACTGCTTCTGTAGGACGGATTTTAACTGCTATAGGATGAGCCAATTTTCAGGGAGCTTAAGCAAGGTAACCTAAGCTATGCCCTCAATAGGGGGCGTGTACCGAAGCGAACGGGGTCGAGGATGAGCATTCTCAAAACCGCATCCAAAGCAACCTGAGGCTGGGAGATATTAGCGATGGTCAGCAACGGGCTGCCGATTGAAGTAGGGAGAGACACGCAACAACCGCTTTGATAGTTAGCTGCATGTATGATTCATATATCCATGCCGCCAGCGACTCATATCCATTATCAGTTGTTATCAATTCATAAATGAAGCGATAATAGTACATGATTGGACGACCATTTGTGGGCGGGCGGTTGCGCTGCGCGTCTGGGTCAGTATGTTGCACCTTGGTTAGCCGACATAAAGACGATCTTGGTTCGAAAAGGCGCCATGCAGCTCCTGCTAAGGGGCGCAATACTCTTTCGTGCTGAAAATATCGACCCTGTACGCCTTGTCGCTTTATCATGCCACGTTGCCGTCGTCCTTGCCTTCAAATCTCCGTCGAGTCGAGAGGACACACACAAAAATGCAGCAATCCCCTTTCATCCAAGCTCAATGCGACCCTTCTTTGTATAGCAATAAAATACAACGTCTTAGTCCTCTCGCAGAGATATCCGACCTCCAATCACGATTGCTGTGCCGTGAATGTGCGGTCAGCGTCCAACAGGTGCCATCTCAATGATTACCTAATGCTTTCTCTTCTTCCTGCAATATGTAGGAAACCCTGGACTTCCGGCTCCAGGAAGAGTTTAGCACATTTAACTTGTTCCATCGGAAGGCAGCAGCATATTATGCTACCCAACGTACACGTGTTCTGTTCTACCTTTGATGTTAGTTTTCAGCAAGTCATTGTGCGGCTCCTTGCATCATTCGGATGTCTGTAATCGTGATGAGTATTGTAGCTTCAGCAGTCGATCACCTTTCGCATTCTGCTGCAGTCGATCTGACAAAAACTGTGGGTGCTTCGATTACTGACTAGTTACGTGTGCTTATTCCCTATTCATAGTATTTTCAGCTATTCAATCCTATGTAATCTATGGCAACCAGTTCAGCAAATCTCGACGTCAACGTCACAAGAGAAAAGTGATATTCCGTCTTTTTTGATATCGCATATAAATCTCGTGTAAACCCTGTAATCTAGGGAATAGAGCACGCCCGTGTATGGGGCGCACTTTCATCTCGAACGCAGCAAGTGCGATTTTTATGACTCTTTTATGAAAATTTTTG